TTTTTTTTTTTTTTTTTTTTTTTGTCCTTGTCCGTTTGATCTCCCCCCCACCAGGATGCGCCTCGGTGATAACTCTTTTCCCCATGCACGGCGCCGGTGATGCCCCTGCTGTCTCCGAGGTTGGGAAGATCGGACACGGCAAACCCGTGGGATGCCATGGGACTCGCGGCTTCTTTGCGGGAGGGAAGGGGATCTCGGTACTTTTGCATCGGTGCCGTGACATTGCTGTTGTGTTTGCCGGCAGGACACAGAATAGCTGATCCTGTTTGAGTTTTGGTGATTATATCTGATGATCCTGGGGAGGTCTGCATCCCAACTCGGGAGCTGTCCTGTGGAGAGCGGGCTCACATGGTCTCCTGCGAGCGTGTGCGGGAAACCTGCGTGCGCGTGTGTGGATGCGGGGGTACGCGTCAGAAGGAAGTTTTTCTCCAGGAGTAAGGAAGACAAAGAGAAAACCCCAGGGGCTGCGCGTAAACTCCTTTCTGGGCTCTGCCCTGTGGGAATCCCCCTCCCCGCACACACCTCTGGAGAGACATCAGATAAGAGTAATTCTTTTGTGATGCTATGTTGGATGCGTGCCTATTGCGTACAATAAACCGAGCCATATTGTGTGTCTATACTCGCCCGGTTCTGGGAGCCCTGGCATTTCGCAATTCCTGCAGCAAGATGTCCATCTCTAAAAGAAAAGCTCCCCGGGAGAACCCGGCTGGGTCCCCCCCGTAATGTGATCTCAGGTGATCAAAGCCTTATCTCTCCCGGGTCACAAAAGAAATTTTTTTGATGCAGTCTCCTTTAGTGTAGGGCATTGGCTAGACAGTAGAGTCATTGTAAATTCAGGTACTCTGTAACAGCGGAGAGGCGTGCCTCTGTGCGTCAGCACAAGTACTGCATGCACAGCATTAAAAAAATAGGAGCATGCAGGAAAAGGAAAAAAAAAAAAGCTTGTCAGCAGGTGACCTCCGCTCCCCGGGACCTGCTGCTACAAGGAACCGCTGCGTTCATCATCTGCGGGAGCCGCGCAGCCGCCCGCCCTCCCGCCTCCCCAGCCCGCCCTGCCTGCTCCGGCGCTGGGCTGGCGGGGCGGGCTCAGCGCCGGGAGGGCGCGGGGGCGGCTCCGGCCGGGGGTCCCTGCGGCTGCCCGCCCCTCTGCTGCTGGATGCGGGTGGGCGGGCCTGCCCCCCGCCCCGTGCTGTCTCTGGGGAGAGCCAGCAGACCGGGGCGGGGCGGGGGAAGGTGATGCATGCGGGGAAGGCTCTGGCCCCCGGGACTGGGAATCGCGGGCCAGGTTTTAGGGGGAGGGAAAGGCGCCGAGCAGGCCCGACAGTCTCCTCCGCTACTGAGCGCTGCCGAGGGGAGGGGATGAGGGGAGGCGGGCAAGGGCGCTGTGAAAGCCTGAAACCGAAGCAGGGCCCTGCTGCCTGGGGGTGCCGTGTCTGTCTGCGCTCCCGTCTTTTAATTGGCATCATGTGGGGGAGCGGGCGGGGTGGTGACAGCTGCGACAGGCGGGACGCATCCCGGCAGAGCGCTCAGCCCCGCGCAGCCCCGCACCGCAGCCTCGCCGGCCGGCGGGAGACAGAGAGGGAGGCGCCGGGGCACGGTGGTGCCAGGATTCCCTCGCCCCATCGCTGGGCTGACCTCCCGGCGGCTTCTTAGCCACGAAGGGCTCCGTATCCCTCGCCCCACTGCTCTCCGCGGCAGCCCGGGCAGAGGATCCCCCACCGCTCTTCCTGCGCTCCCCTTCCCCTGGTAGCCGTACAGAGAGGTGGCAGGCAGTGATACTTGTTCACCGTCTTCGTTGTCTCAGATGGTCTGTTGCAGTGCTAAGGGAAAGCTAAACTGCTCCAATCCATTGATACAAAAAAAGCCAACGTGTAGCCTGAGACAAAAGCAGGCAAAGGGTAAACCAGCAACAACATGAAACCGTGCAGTAGCAGAGGTGTTCATCGCCTAAAAGCCAAGGAAATTGCTTATGTAGGTCTGCTCTTCACCAGAGCTAAGATAGATGAAAATTAAACTTTCACTTTCATGAACAACACGTCTCTCACCTTTGAGTGTGTCGGGAGAGCAGGACCAGCATTTATTAGGACAGGCTGGTATCCTGCACCATTCAGCATGATCTGAGTTGGATCGTGTAGAAGAAGGTATGTGAAGGGCTGATTAGGACGTGTAAGGAATAAATAGCTTCCCTGAAACTTTCTTCCTATCCTCGTGAAGGAATGGGTCTTTGCACTGAAATGGTTTCATTAAAGAAAATGCTCAGTGAGAAATCCAGCACCCCATGTATGAAGTTATTTCCTCTGCTTCGCTTCCCTTCCATATTTTTAGCTATAAATAGGGCCCTAGCTTTCAAAGTTTGGAGCTGTCCTGATTTTCATTTGATACAGCCTCATTTTGAAGACGATTATCTATTTTAATATCTAGTTCAGGTCCTAAGTAATATCTGTATATTATAGAAACTATACAGTGAAAATATGCACAGAACTATGGGACAAATGCAATCCTTGCACTGACAAGACTTTGGTAAGACTGTACGCTTGGCCCCAGATAATCTCTTGAAGGATTTAATATGGCACATAAAACTTGCTGTGAGTAGGCTTTTGAGTGTTTCAAATTAAGAGGTCTCTATCTGATCTTAAATATGTGAATGCTTTTTGCCAAGTACCTTAAATTAATTTTCTGCACTTAGGATAGGACATGACAGTGCCGTTTTTGTTCTTTTCATGCACTAAGCAGCATGCATCCAAATATTTGAAATGATGACAGCAATCAAAGACTACATTTGGATTGATATGAAAAATGCCAGACTCACTAACTTAGCTATAGTAGTGTCTAATACACACTTAACAAAAGATTTAACCTCAGTTAAAATTGCTTGGTAACATGTATCAAGTAATATGATATTTTGGTAAAAGCTTTAGAGAGAAAGCCTTACTAAGAAATCTGAAAGTATTGCATGTCCAGATATAATGGGAATTTTTAAATTGTTTCAATGGATCAATTGTATCTGAGATACTACATATACCAGATAAACTGCATGCTGCCACTTTATATTACTTAAATAATTACATAATTGCAAATATTTCCTCCCAGTACTTTTTATTTGTGCATATGTAGAGAATAATTGAAAATGCCCAGGCCTTAAAAAAGGGTTATCAAAACAATTATACTGTGGTGTTTGTAGTGCTGAATAATATATAAGGTAATGATCAATACTCCCTTACAGCGAATATTTTTCATCTTTACATTAGCTTGGCTATAAATTTTCCCTACTGGCTTCAACTTGTGTTATGTTAGATCTATGTGATTCATGCCTGCTATTGATTAGTGCACAACTATTTTGTGTGAGATGCCAAATTAATTGTTATAAAAAGCCACGAAAGTGCTTTTTTATTGGCCCTGCGAGGCTCAACACACACTATACTGTTATTTCATTATTTCATGTGCATATAATTTCCAATAAGCTTTACAAAAAGTTATGCAGTGTGCTTAGATATGAAAATTCACATAATATACTGAGAAAGCTACTTTGTGCAGGACACACTTTATTTTGTGACTCAGAAAGTAGCGTAACACAGCAGCATGCTTCTGAATGTTGCTGGATAACTTCCTGTGAGAGAGACCATTACAGTCTTAGATGAGCACTCCCAAATAGGAAGAAATTTCCATTTTTTTAACACAAGATTCCTAGGCTTATGCCAGGTTTGGCTAGCAGCATCCTCATTGAAGAGGTAAGAAATTTGCAGGGAAGGCTGTCAGAAAATCCCCAAACCCTCAGAACTGGATAAGCCAATACTTGATACAGATACTTGTTGTACTGTACACATGGATGCTGAACCTCAGAGATTTGCAGAAGCAGTGCTTCTCTGCAAAGTGTTCTTATTTCTAAGAGAAAAAATGTCTGTGTAAGCTTGCTGTGATGTACATGGGAAAACTTAATCATGTACACACTATTACACTTAGGTGTAGGATGTTTTAATGTCTGAATTTTAGATGAGTAAATAATAACACATCAGAGAGAATGGTTACTATCTAAACAGAAATGCATGGCACTGGACTATACTAAGGATTTTCATTTCTCAAGCCTCTGGAAGATCATACTGTGAGTAAATCTTTCACTGTATTCCTGATTCATTGATGTCTGAAAGGAGATCTTTTGGTTCCATGTGTAACTTTGCCTTATTTCACAATTCTGATTAAAATGTATTTTTTCAGAATTAATTTTTCAAGACAAGTTTCCTCATTCTTGATAATTTTGGCAATCTAAAAACTTTTTTTTTTCTCTGAATGTATTATCTGTTGTGCAAAATCAGTATAACTGAGCTTAAGAAATGTGTTTAGGAATGATGAGGAAAATTGAGGGCAATCTTTTAATTTGATACATTAATGCTGTCTGAAATGCATCATTCTAACAAAGATCCAAAGTATTTGAAGTGTTGTACATTAATTTTGTCATCATCTTCTTCAAACAACTCACAAAATGGGAGAAAAGACTTGAAAATAGTTGCTTCACACTGAGGGATAAGTCATATCTGGAAAAAAAAAAACCTTTCAATGGAAACAATATGTGCATTGTTTGTTTTTTCCTTCATTTCATAGGTATACTGGAATTTATCAGTATAGCAGTGGGCTTGGTCAGCATCCGAGGAGTCGACAGTGGACTTTATCTTGGAATGAATGAGAAAGGGGAACTGTATGGCTCGGTGAGTTCCTGCTGGCCTTGGGCAGTTATGATCCTTTCATTCTGTGGGGGAAACACTTGCTAGCTCTGACAAGCTCCCAATGCACTGTGTGTGTGTGCTGTATGAGCTCTGAATATCTTGCAATCTAATTCAAGACAGGACCCTCTGGGTGACATAATGAATGTGGGAGAGAGAAAAGGTGACAAAATCAGGAATGAGTAATAATGCAGATGAATGGCAATTTAGAAACAAACAATAGAGACTGATGGCCAGAGCTGGTCACCGAAGACTAAAGGATGTACTATAAGATTTGTAAATGTCTCTTCTCAGTAGAAACCTAAATCAAGACGAATTGGATTCCTTTGTGTGTAGGCAGAGAGCTTTCTAAGAATTGACAAAATAAGGTAGAGGGGGAGGGAAAGGGTGGCATATGTGGATGAGAGAATGAGAAACAGGAGTGTGACAGAAGTTATAAAAAGTATAGGAATCAGGGCAAGAGGCTTGGTGGTCTTGTCCTGAAAGTTTCACTGGTGCTCCCTGAGGGATGGCAGCAGGAGTGAGTAACGGGTGTGAGGGAGGAGTAAAACTTGGTATTTCAGATGTGGGAGTTTGCCAGCCTACCTGCAGCTGATGGGTGATTGTTCTTGGCAACATGGGCTGTCTTCCAGCAGAGCAGAGAGAGAGAGAGTGTGTGTGCATGTGTTTGTATGATGTGGCTCTTACCTGGAGGATTTGAGGCATCTGATGTACAACAGGCTTCATACCCTGCATAGATCGTGGGCAGGCTCATCTGAAATTTAGCAGATGACTCCCCAGATGGTAGAAGACAACCTTTTCTAGCAGTAAAGTGTCAACCTCCAAAGCTTACAATGACTAGAGAAGCCGTTGTATTTGAGGAAGAGGATAGCAGGATTGAAGGGTAAGAGAATATCTGAAGCAAAGTGAAGCTGTGTATTCATAGGGGTTCATTAGAAGCAGGGGAGAAGGTTACAGTGGTCCATTGATAGTGTAAATGTTGCAGAGAAATGCTGAAAAAAAAGTTAAAGTGATAGAGAAGGGCTTTGACTGTAGTTGAAGTTACCTGTGTCACAGGGAGTAGCAGTAACAGGGAAAAGGGTGGGGCTGGCAGTGAGAGTAGAAGAAAACATGAGATGATGGTGGTGAGTGGGCAGGTGAAAACAGAAGGGGTAAGTGGGAAGTCCACCTTCCATGTATGTTATCCATGTAGGAGTGTGAGCAAGTGAAACCAGGAAAGTCCAGCAGAAGTGTTTCCATAAGGGTGTCCGGGTTCACTGATCTCTTCCTAGTAAAATTTTGTGTGAGAGAGATGAAGAGGATTATCTTCTGAGCAAAAAGCAAGCTAGATGAGGAAGGTGGAAGATACAATAAAGACAGTGTATGTGGGAGGCAGAGAAAGAGGTGATAAAGCAATGGGCAAGGCTGGGATGAAGGATGAGTGGACATGGGGGAAGGGGAGATGCAGAGATGGTGAGAGCCAGTGAGCAGGAAAGGCCAAAGAAAAGGGATTTAACATGAATATCCATAGGGAGAACATAAAGTTTGGAAGGATGGAGAGGGAGTGAGAAAAGAAATGGATACAATGACAGATGTAAACCAGTTGCCTGTGAGGAGTAAGATGTCATAAGTCACAATCCTTGTGTAGCCTGATGAGTGTGATAAAGAACTAGCAAAGTACATGAGTACATCAGGTTCAGTTAGGCAGCAAAGAGGCAGAACAACAACAGTAATGTGAATCAATAATGTTGATAATCATCAGTAAGAGTAATTGTCTAAAGATATAAACATAGTGAATCAGTTACTCTGCATTTCAGATATTCTGAGACAGGAAATGCGGTCATTGATAGAGCTTAAATGCATAGACTTGGGAAAGCAAATGTTACATCACTTTCCTGTGCAATTTATATTTTGTATTTGCAATATGTTTGACTGTCAGAGTGAATTACTCAAGACATTCTTTGCTGAAGAAATATGCACAAGAAATTCTTTGTAAATTAGTAAGGTCACTGCATTTATAAAATAGTTGTTCCATGAACGGCAGTTCTAAAGGAGCCTGCTTTCCTAAGGAGTTGTGTCTCACAGTACAAGACATGGGTCTCTCTGACATCCTGTCCCAGCAGAAGCACAAATTCCTTAGCCTTTTGTGTTTCTTGTATGGAGAAAGAGTCAGTGTTAGCTGTCCATGCTCACCAGACTGTCAGTTTGCAGGGATTACATAGCTCACCACTCCCGAGTGAGACGTGCAAATGATTTCTCTTCTTTAGCCTGCCTCTGATTAGTTGCAAACCTGATAGGAACTTAATTTTCTTAGAGACCTTTGCCTCCTGATTGAAACAGGTTGACAAGCTAAGGAAGGAGAGACAACCAGGCAAATGGATGTACAGTAAAATTGGATAACCCCTTTTTCCTAAGAAATGGCACTAAAAATATGAAGCCATTCATAATGGAGAACTGGCAGTCTCTGAGGCTGGAATGCAAAGTTCAGGTTAAAATCTGACGGATGATATGGCTTATTGTCAGCCTCCAGAGATGGGACATACTAAAGAGTGATGGTAATTGAATTACATTACTTCCAATGAAATATAACCTCTAATGGCTACTCAGTGTGATGATGCTTTAAAGCCTTGTCAACACTTGCAATCCTAGTGCCTATATTTCAGCAACTGTCAGCTCTCTTAGAAACACTGAGATAAGCAGGCCTCAGAGCAGATTTTTTGTGTAGAATTGGCTGGACATTTTTAAGTGACAGTGTTTTGCTTTCGGTTTTGGTCAAAAAGTGCAGTTAATTGAAAATTAAGTTCTCTGATGGGAATAAATGTTGCATCTGGAACCAGAAACAAGGCACAATCCAGCACAGAATGATTTCTCTGGCAAAGCAGAAGACCAGGTTAAACGAGATTAGTTTTGAGACTGATGTGTGGTAGACTGTGAAAAACTTAAATCTTTAGCTGAACAGTTCTGTAGCACCAATAAACTGTCCTTGTGTCGCTGTGCTGTTAGGTCTATCCCTCTGTCTTGGTTTCTTCCCTAAGAGCTGTGGATAGCATCAGCTTTGTCATGGAGCAGGCACACTTATGACACAGTGGCTGTGTTTCCTAGGATGGGAAGCCCACACACAACTGAGTAGCAGCCTAAGAAATACTTGGTCTTGCTCTACATCAGCACTGTGGATCTAAGCAGGTGCTTAGATTCACAGCTTGTGAGGCATCCAGTAATTGACACTGTTGGAGTAGATGCCCTGTGTCTGACACTATCATATTTATATTCTAAATACTGCATGAAAAATACATTAGGCATGAACCAAATCAGTGACCTAAGAGACTTTTATCCCTCTATATTTGTGTTTGAAACATTTGACACAGGAAGATTTTTCCCAGCATAATTGTGGTGCCACTGGAGATGGGACATATGGCAAAGCAGAGCAGCCAGGGTGGGTGACTGCTGCCAGTTCTCATGAAAGACAACAGCAAAGGCAGTTTCAGCATATCTTGATCCAGATACGTTCCTCTTGGCCTTCTCAAAGTACTGCTTTCCTCCTGGATTAGCTGCCTGACAAACTCTTCCCACCTCCCCACTCTCACAGGGGGCAGTTCCTGCTGTATTTTCTGGTCAGAAGAGCACAGTGCCTCTTATGCTGCTTTCAGGCAGATGTGTAACATAACGTGGTTGTTCTCAAATTCCTCATCATGCCATGGATTTAGCCAAGTAAAGCTCAAAATACAGGCACATGGTTCTGCAGAGAAACCAGTGGTAGCTACCAAACAATGACACGGAGACTGGTTAGTGACAGCAGCTTTTCCTCCTGTCTCACCTGTCCCTGCTTTCCCTTTACCTTGCCTTTCCCTGGCAGCCTGCAGCCATGACTCATCACGTTTCACAGCAGCTACTGTGCTTGCCACTGGAAAGGAGGAAAAATGCAAACTACAAATAGGACCCCAAGGGTATTAAGACATGAAGACCTTTTCCTTCCCAAGTGCCAAACAGCTCTTGCCAACATGTCTGGCAAGAACATCAGGAAATGTGTCTTAGCTGTGCTCATCAGGGCCATCCATGGAGGTCTTTCTGATGAGTACCACAACCTTTACGCTTTTGTAGGCTGTCCCCACTGTCATGCTGCCCTTGGGAATATTTACAGCTGCCACCCACGTGGCAGGACTTGATGTGTCCCCACACCATGGGATGCCCATCATTCCCACTGCAGGCTGTCCTCTAAGGGAGTTCTGTGCTACCTCAAGCACAGACCAAGCAGGAACATGGGATACCCTTGCCTCAGCTGCCCTGGTTGTCCCAGGTTTTTCTGCAGTAGAGAGCTGTGCTGCATCTGACTGCTGGCATCCCCACCTCACTGATCTCCCGCAGACATGCACTGTCTTCGTTCTTCTTCTCAGACTGAATATAAAGAAAAATTTTTTTAGTGGTGGGTGTGGTGAGGCACAGGAACAGGTTGCCAAGAGACACTGTAGATTCCCCATTGCTAAAAACATTCAAAGTCAGGTTGGACTGGGCTCTGAGCAGCCTGTTGTAGTTGAAGATGCACATTGCAGGGGGCCTGGGCTAAATGAGATTTAGAGGTCCTTTTCAACCCAAACCATTCTGTAAAATGCTGGTGCCTCCATGTGTCCTTGGCAAGTGGCAAAAGACAGCTCAGGTTGGGTGCTCAGGAGGAATTGGTAACTACCAATCTAATTGGTAGTTAGAAAGTCTGGAGCAGCTACCAAGAAAGCTGTGCAGGTGGGGAGAGGAAGACAGGAGTGGAACTGGTGGAGTTGTTGAGGCAGGGGGAAAGAGTGCTTGGAAGGAGACCTCAGGGGAGCATACAGACAGAAGCTTCATTTACTCACAGAGCAGCTGGGACAGAGCTGAAGAACCCAGATCAGGAGCCAGGGAGGGAGCTCCACACCTCTGGGTTGCAGACTTACAGGGTATGTGGTACAAGGTGAGATACAGGAAAGCTTTTAGCAGGGTCATAAATTGCTGTCCTTCAAAAAGTGAACTGAAAGATT